ATAATAATAATAATAATAATAATAATAATAATAATAATAAAGTTGGAAGGGACCTTGGAGGTCATCAAGTCCAACCCCCTGCTCAGGCAGGTAACCCTATACCATTTCGGACAAATGGCTGTCCAGTTTCTTCTTAAAAACTTCCAGTGTTGGAGCATTCACCACTTCTGGAGGCAGGTTGTTCCACTGGTTAATTGTTGTAACTGTCAGGAAGTTTCTCCTTAGTTCTAGGTTGCTTCTCTCCTTGATTAGTTTCCATCCGTTGCTTCTTGTCCTGCCTTCAGGTGCCTTGGAAAATAGCTTGAGTCCCTCTTCTTTGTGGCAGCCCCTGAGATATTGTAACACTGCTATCATGTCCCGCCTCGTCCTTCTCTTCGTTAAACTAGACATACCCAATTCCAGCAACCGTTCCTTATATGTTTTAGCCTCCAGTCCCCTAATCATCTTTGTTGCTCTTCTCTGTACTCTTTCTAGAGTCTCAACATCTTTTTTACATCGCGGTGACCAAACTGGATGCAGTATTCCAAGTGTGGCCTTACCAAGGCATTGTAAAGTGGTATTAACACTTCACGTGATCTTGATTCTATCCCTCTGTTAATGCAGCCTAGCACTGTGTTGGCCTTTTTGGCAGCTGCAGCACACTGCTGGCTCATATTTAAGTGATTGTCCACTAGGACTCCGAGATCCTTCTCACAGTTACTACTATTGAGCAAGGTACTCCCTATACTATACCTGTACATTAGGTTTTTCTTGCCTAAATGTAGAAGAGCCACCTGGGAGGAGACTTTCAAGATGCTGATTGTCATGTATAAAAGCCCTATATGGCATATAGGCTAGTTATCTGTGGGATCCTCTCTTTCCTGTGGTTTCTGCCCATCCTGTAAGAACTGACAGAGTTGGCTTGCTGCAGATCCCATTGATTAAGCAATGCAATCAATCTTCAGAATTCTCTGTGGCACTTTCCTTCTGCAACATCCTCCCTGGAGATCTGTTTGATCTGCCATCTTACAGAGTTACCAGTACTTTTTTTAAAAGTGCTAAAAACATAGATCTTCCTCGTCCTAGAGGTAATGTGATGGTGTTGGGAGATGTCTTTGTTTTTATCTCTGCAAGTGGGGGAGAGAGCCAGTTTAATCTAGTGATTAAGGCATCAGGCTAGAAACAGGAGACTGTGAGTTCTAGTCCTACCTCAGGCACAAAGCCAGCTGTGTGATTTGGGGCCATTCATTCTTTTTCAGCCCTACAAAGGACGCAATGGCAAACTACTTCCAAAAATCTTTGCCAGGAAACTTCAGGGATTTGTCCAGGCAGTCACCAGAAGTAAAAAAAACCCCAAAACCTCAGAGGCACACATGCAAACAGTTTGATTGTTATTTCCTCCAGGTGAAACTCTACATTTAAATCTTATCCTGACTTCGTTTGTGCACATTAAGCTGCTCAGAATAATTAAAATCAATCTAAACATCATGTTAATAAATTTGTATATTTTGTCAGAAAATTAAATATAAATTAGATAAAGTTATATACTCACCATAATGTACTGTTATGCAAGTATTTTGGTCGACTGTGCAGGTCATAGTTTTGTTACACATAGCAGATTCACAATTGTAGCACACTAAAGCACTTCCTAAATAATCAAGGAAGAAAAGAAACTAAACAAAATGATCCCTTCTGAAACAGAATCCCCGTTAGAAAACAAATNGGACAAATGGCTGTCCAGTCTCTTCTTAAAAACTTCCAGTGTTGGAGCATTTACCGCTTCTGGAGGCAGGTTGTTCCACTGGTTAATTGTTCTCACTGTCAGGAAGTTTCTCCTTAGTTCTAGATTGCTTCTCTCCTTGATTAGTTTCCACCCGTTGCTTCTTGTCCTGCCTTCAGGCGCTTTGGAGAATAGCTTGACTTCCTCTTCTTTATGGCAACCCCTCAGATATTGGAACACTGCTATCATGTCCCCCCTCGTCCTTCTCTTCATTAAACTAGACATACCCAATTCCAGCAGCCGTTCCTTATATGCTTTAACCTCCAGTCCCCTAATCATCTTTGTTGCTCTTCTCTGTACTCTTTCTAAAGTCTCAACATCTTTTTTACATCGCGGTGACCAAAACTGGATGCAGTATTCCAAGTGTGGCCTTACCAAGGCATTGTAAAGTGGTATTAACACTTCACGTGATCTTGATTCTATCCCTCTGTTAATATTTACAACTATCATATCATCATTCACAGTTTCACAACTAGTCCCTGACAAGCGGAGTTCAGGTTTCAAAAAATCTTGCCAAGGAAACTGCATGGACTTGTTCATATAGTTGCCAGGAGTCAAAACTGACTCAAAGACACACACAAAAAGAAAAACAACAAAAGAGTTCCCTGAAACTGGATGTCTAGGATTGCCCCGACAATTTGCCTGGTTATAAAAGACAATTTCATACAATTCCAGCCAGGAATCTGTCATTCAAAGGGATATTATAATTTTTTCTATCATAAATTATATCATCCGTATAATTCCAAAGCATCAAGCTAAAACTCAGCCAGCCCTTGGAATGATGAACTACCTTCACCTCCCTCTTCTATTCTTCTGGTCCCTGCACTGTTATCATTCAGTTAGCATTTTCCATTGGGTTCACTTACTTACCTGAATGGAGGAACAAAGCCAGAACAAAGGCAGTAATGCCAGCAGTGACCAAAAGGGATTTCATCTTCTTTGTGTCTCCTATTCAACCTACATAATAAAAAAAATTGTTGTCCTATCAGATGTTCCAAAATAAATGCAATAATCTAAACTGAGCAACAATATTTGTATGCCAAGCCTTAACTTTCTATATTCCATGTCATTATGCCAGTCTTATATAAAAGTTTTATGAGTGCTAAGTAGGAATATATTTTTTTTCCGGGCAGATGACAGAATATTCATGAAAGGCAACATCATTCAGACCGAAGTAAAGATCTGTTAAATTACTGGCCTCTAAAGTGAAACCACTAAAATGAAATATCATTTCTACTAAACTTGAAAGCACTTTTAAATTGTATATCAAATAGTTGGAATTTACCATAATACAAAGGAAAATGCTTATGTACTCTACCCTCTACTCCATTTCACTGTGTCCTAAAGACACTCTTGCTGGAGAGCTCTCATTAGCTGTATTATTGAAATTGATTTTTCTGCACAATCACATGGGACTTTTGTCTCATAACACATCAGAATCCCAAATGAGTACAAGCGTTTTGTGAGCCCAACAGTACAAATGTCAATTAAATTGCACAAATAGTCACATCATTCCTATTGGCAGTAAATAGCATAATGCAAAGTGCAAAAAAGGAGTAAGAAAAGAAAAAAAACAAGAGAAAACAGCTAAAACTAGTTATCATCAACACTATTAACTACCGGTATACATTGCCATACATTTCCATCCTTTTTGCTACTACACCCATATATTGCTTCATACACTGCTTTTTCTTAAAACTTTTCACCTCTGTCTTGGTGGAAATACTAATTCCTTCCAGCCACAATATTGTCAATCCTCTTTATGCACAT